CACCAAGGTTCTTCTGGGCTTCCCTGGTGGCTCAGTGGTAAAGAATCTGCCTGCCAGTGCAGGGGACTTGGATTCAGTCTCTGGGTCAGGAAGACGCCCTGGAGAAGGAAATGGCAACCCACACCAGTATTCTTGCTTGGTAAAACCTGTGGACAAAGAAGTCTGCTGGGGTACAGTCCATGGGGTTGCAAAGTACATGACTTAGCAACTGAGCATGCATGCAAGGTTCTTCCATGACTTTCATGACTTGGTAACTCATTTCTTCTCTAAAAAACCTTTTTTATTTGGATGTGGACTGTTTTTTAAAGTCTTTATTGAATTGGTTACAATATTGCTTCTGTTTCATGTTGGGTTTTTTTTTTTTTTGCCACAAGGCACATGGGGTTTCAGTTTCCTGACCAGGAATTAAACCTACATTCCCTGTGTTGGAAGTTGGAATCTTAATCATTGGGCCACCAGGGAAGTCCTAATAACTTGTTTCTTCTTATGACTGAAGACTATTCCATTGTCTGAGATGTCCCCCAGTTTGTATATCCATTTACCTACTGAAGATCATCTTGGTTGCTTCCAAGTTTTGACAATTATGAATAAAGCTGCTGTAAACATTCGTATCCATAAGTTTTCAGCTCATTTGGATAAATACCTAGGGTAAAATGACATTTTAAAATATGAGTTTTGAGCCTTCTTTCCCTAGAGTCAGAAGGAAAGTCGTCTTCTCCTTGTAAATAAACCTCCAAAGACAAATCAGGAGGTGAAATAAAGCCAAAAGAGGTTGACTGTTCCCTTCATTTGGATAGATTAGATACATTGATCTGGGTGGAGACTGATATACCTACTTTCCATTAACTAGTCATGAAACTTTTAGGCAGTTCTATTGGTTGTCACTGGAATATTTTAGAAACCTTGATGAAAGGGTATGGATAAATGCTCATTAACCAGCTTTGCTGTGAGCATTTTTCTTAGGGGTTGGGGTGGGTGTCTAGGGGATGCAACAGGTGAAAAGAAAAACTGATTTCATTTCCCTCCTTTTGCCTAATAATTACATTTTTATACTTTCCATCCTGGTTTTGTGACCTTTCCCCTGTTTTAAAAGTGGGTTTTTTCCTCTTCTACATCTTCTCTTATTTTGGGGGCTTCCCTTGTGGCTCAGACAGTAAAGAATCTGACTGCAATGCAGGAGACCCAGATTCACCCCCTGGGTCAGGAAGATCCCCTGGAGGAGGAAATGGCAACCCACTCCAGTATTCTTGCCTGGAGAATTCCATGGACAGAGGAGCCTGGTGGGCTACAGACCATGAGGTTGCAACGAGTCGGACACGACTGAGTGTGGTAATTACATTTATACTTTCTACGCTGGTTTTATGACATTTCCCCTATTTTAAAAGGGGACCTTTTTTTTCTCTTCTGCATCTTCTCTTATTTTTAGCCTTTCATTTATATCCTTCTTCTAATCACTGCGGTTGGTTGTTCCTTGGTCTTTTGTGGCCCCAGAATTATCCAGCTTAGTTTTATTATTCTTGGCAGTTGCATTCTTTGACCTCACCTCTTTAAGCTGTTTTTCTTCATAATATTTGTTCTGAACCAAATTTCTCCTTTAATGCCTTCGTGTGGCTTCCATGCTTCCCAGGGAAAGAGGTTTAATTTTGCTGGAAATAAACTGTGGCCCTCTTTTAGATTAAAATAGTGCTGCTGCTTTATAATCAGTTTTCACAGAATTCACAGTTTGGCCTGTTGTTGGCACATTGTTTTGTGAGTCCATGCAAGTGGCTGGGAATTACCGTATATGCTTGAATATAAGTATAAGACATAGTCTATCATTTTCGGGAAGGAAGAAGTGCCTTACAGAGCGCTTGCAAAGTCTCTCATAGTATGAGGCATAATCTCCATTATTTTCAACAGCAAAGTACCAGTTAACCTTGACCTGACTCACCGATGGCCTTGGAAACTCTAGAAGTCTGAGAGAACCAATGGAAAGGGAGGCGAAGGCACTTTGTGTGGCTTTAATGACAGTTGCTAAAGGGATATGACTCACAGTGGTGAGGGTTTGTGAGACCACTCTAAAATCAATTCACTCAGTGGATAATTTATAGAGATTTTAAATGGGCTCTTATTATTTAAATGGCTTGGGATAATATTCCCAACAAGCATATCACATACAGGTTCGAATAGTGCTTTATCTCAAATATCCAATCAATTGAAAGATCATGTTACACTGGAGCCTCCTGCTCTTGCCTGCCACCAGTCTGAATGAAATTGTTGCATAAGATGTGAGGGCATGGGAACAGTATTTCTAAAGTAATTATGTTAAGCATATGCTCTGAAATAGGATGGTGCAGCTTCATAGATAAATTGTGTAAATTAGTCATTTGATCATTTCATTGCATTTCTAAAAATTATATATTTGTGTTTTCCAAAAGACCTTCTGAGGGGCAGAGTCTTCCCCTTGGAAAAGTGAGGAGGATCACCTTATATGGTGGAGGGGGGTGTGGTTTACCCTGCATCTGGACATAGGTGACATCTTTCAAAGACTGGTACAGTTTTTTGAGTGTATGGTTTTATTTGAATCAAAGGGCATTTGTATAATTCTCCTTCCCATTGGTGAATGCGTATGGATTTGTTGTTGAATTGCTAAGTTGTGTCCTACTCTTTTGAGACCCCATGGGCTGTAGCCCACCAGTTTCCTCTGTCCATGGAATTCCCCAGGCAAGAATACTGGAGTGGGTTGCCATTTCCTCCTCCAGGGAATCTTCCCGACCCAGGGATCGAACTCACGTCTCCTGCACTGCAGGCGAATTCTTTACCAATGAGCCACCTGGGAAGCCCGCATGTGGACTGGGGACTATCTATTTACCTTCCCCAGCTGCTCGGTTCAACACAATCTCCCTTCTCATTCAGGTATTCAGCCTTGAGGCTACAAGTCGTGGGTCAAGGATTCCAGTTCTGAAATCCAGTGGTGACTGTTTAGAGCTCACCTTTTCCTGCACTGGACTCCTTAACTCTTCTCATCTTGAAATGCTGCCCTTTCATCATTCCTACGCCAATACTTGCCTGACTGTTCCTTCTTAGCTGGCTCTGAGCGTCCTTGTTCCTGCCAGCATGTTGGCGCCTTATTTTCTCCCTCTCCCCGGGCATCTCATGTCCTTTGAAGGCTGAGCTTCCACCCATACTGAGGTTGAAAATTGGTAGTCTGTAGGCTGGATCTGCCTGTAAGGTTGGCCCACGCACTGTGGATATAATTGTGAATTTGTTGCCCACATTGAAAATCTGGGATCGAATCCAGATTTCTGGCCACTCTTGGAAGACGGGATGAGGTAGCGGTGCTGGGACCAAGTTGTAAACCCCTGTCCCCAGGAGATGGGGCACTTTGGCTCCCCGGGCCTCCAGAGTTCTAGCAAGTATTGTTGCCCTCATCTCTGCACTTCCAAGAAGTGCTATCAGTCACCATTTTTGTTTATCATGACCACACTGTTCTGGTCCTCACAATAGAGATAAGAGGACAAAAATAACTCTTTTGGCTATGTCTGTATTCAGAAGTCGGAACATAAAAGCTGGACCAAGAATGCTATGTTTCAAAACAATGGAAAAAAGCATTTTGTATATATATAGGAGGGAAGAACATGCTCACGCATTTGATGTTCATGGTGTGTCTGAGCGGACAGGTTGCAACTTAAGGTGCTCATGATCGTTGTCATAGATGGCTTATACTTTCACCCATGCTTTTTTCTTCTGGCACCCCAAGTGATCTCTTGGCTAATGTAGAGTCATTGGAATTTACCAGGTTATGGAATGTGCAAAGGTCCTGGGGCACAGTGGTAAGCAAGGCAGAACGTTTTGTACCTTCAAGGGGCTTACAGTCAGGTTGCACAGAAACCACCAACCCCTCACACTCGGCATGACCTTGAGACGTGTCTCCCTCCCACCTCTCAGGTTATCTCAGTGTCCATGATCAAAAGCCACTCGAATTTACCAGGTTATGGAATGTGCAAAGGTCCTGGGGCACAGTGGTAAGCAAGGCAGAACGTTTTGTATCTTCAAGGGGCTTACAGTCAGGTTGCACAGAAACCACCAACCCCTCACACTCGGCATGACCTTGAGCACGTGTCTCCCTCCCACCTCTCAAGTTATCTCAGTGTCCATGATCAAAAGCCACTCGTCCTCTGATTAGCAATCTTCATTCCATCTGCAAACTTAATTCTCTTTGGTTATGTAATGTTCACATATCCAAGGATTAGAACCCTGACATTTTTGGGGTCTATTTTTCTGTCTACCGTAATAGCTGCTTGCTGAATAGTTTATCATCCCTTGCCAATTCGTGGATGACTATTGGGCTTCCTTGGTGGCTCAGCTGGTAGAGAATCCGCCTGCAGTGTGAGAGGCCTGGGTTCAATCTCTGGTTTGGGAAGACCTCCTGGAGAAGGGAAAGGCTGCTCACTCCAATATTCTGGCCTGGAGAATTCCACGGACTGTTTAGTCCATGGGGGTCGCAGAGTCAGACGTGACAGAGTGACTTTCACTTTACTTGGGCTCCAAGCATGGAGGTTGTAGGACTGATAATCATGTTTTCAATTAAAAGGAAAAAAAAGAAGCTGTTTGCCTAAATCTTCCTTACTCTGGCTGGTTTTGCTCACCATCTCACAAAAACATGGTCACATTTGTGTTTTCTCAACTGTCCTAGCAGTGCCCGTCTTGAATGATGTCTTCTACTGTCTCCTGGTTTTATTAACTTCGAAGTTTCAGCTCTGGCCCACTTCTTCCAGAAACTGATTTGTTATGCCCTCCTTGCTCTCTTTCTTCCCTGAAATCCTTTAGCTTTTTGACTCTGCGGCAATTACGTATATCATGTTCCATAAATATTTACTTATTGATTGTGTGAGTTTTGGCAGCAAGCCTTATGGGTTGGTTCAAAGTGGCTCTCAACAGTTCGTTTCCCTTCGGAAGCAAAATGTTATTCCATGTTTCAAGTGCTTATCTGAAATGTTGTATGGTTTTGTTTATTTCAGAGACTTGAAGATAGAAAACTTGCTGCTAGATGAAGACAATAATATCAAGCTGATAGGTATGACTTTTTTTTTTTTTAAAGCAAGATTATCCTTTAAGTGCTGTGTTGTCAATTCTCAGTTATTTATTTCTGATTTTGAAAATTACCATGGTCTATTTCTAATCCCCAGACAATACTTCTAGTTCATCTCCTTTTACCTGCAACATCTAAGCATGGTTTTGAATAATTTAAACATAAAACATGTTCTTAGGCTTCTTCAAACTTTTGCTTCTCTGTTAATTCAGATGGAGTTGAACTTGTGAGGGGTTCTTTTTACTTGAATTCACCTGAAAGCTTCTTAAGAAAAGGGGAACGTAGTTTTGTTCAAAAATGCTGCTCTTAGCTTGGCCATGCTTTATTCCACTTTTCAGTGAATGTAGGGGCACTGCAATAAGAGGGAATGCAGCTTACCTTCTCTTTTTAATGTCTTTGCTTTAGCCCTGCCTGTAGCACATGGATGATGGTACAGAGTGAAACAGAGGGCTGCTTTAGAGGCCTGTGCCAGTCAGGAGGAAATTCCAGGATGGAGTGAATCATAGCTGATTCACCACTAAGGGTTCATAAGCAAATTCACCTCATGGCTTCTTCTCCAGAAATATTCTACTTTTGTTTACCTGTGTGGTTGCTCTTGGCAAAAATATAGGGCATCATGTTTCCACCCAGATATCAGCCTCATCTTTTACTCCTTTCTTTCTTTTCCCACCCCAAGTACAAGTAATTTCTTCTGCCTCGAGGGCTTGAAAAGACTTTCTATTAGAAGAAAAGAGAAGAATCAACAGAACTTTGTGACTTTTAGCTTTTGTACCCAAGAAGGAAATTTTGTTTGGCAAATACTGAAAACCATCTCCAGACTCTAAAACACATCATTCAAATGACTGGTTATATTCCTTGGGATCCCAGATGGCTTCCAACCCAATAACAGGCAAGAGGCTGCCAGGGACTCCAGGCCTCTTGGCTGGGCGATTAAGCATCATTGACAGGTGTTGATAAATATACCCATTATTGGGACATTAACAATTAAGAGGAAACTGATCCCCCCCCACTCCCCCCCCCCCCCCCGCCCCAGGGATTTTATAGGATGTATTCGGTTTTTATTTATTTATTTTAATTGGAGGATAATTACAATATTGTGGTTCTTGCCACAGATCAAGAGGAATTGGCCATAGGTGTACAGGTGTCCCCTGCATCTTGAACCCCCCACCCCCACCCCACCCAATCCCTCCAGCTTGTCACAGAGCACCGGCTTTGGGTGCCCTGCGTCACACATCAAACTTGTACTGGTTATCTGTTTTACATCTGGTAATGTATATGTTTCAGTGCTGTTCTCTCAAATCAGCCCACCCTCTCCTTCTCCCACTGAGTCCAAAAGTCTGTTCTTTCCATCTGTGTCTTCTTTGCTGCCCTGCATGTAGGATTGTCGGTACCATCTTTCTAGATTCCACATAATGTGCATTAATATACGGTATTTGTCCTTCTCTTTCTGACTCACTTCACTCTGTATAATAGGTGCTAGGTTCATCCACCTCGTTAGAACTGACTCAAATGCGTTAGGATGTATTCTTAGCAGATTCTTGGATGATTCAGATCAGATTGTTTTGCTATTGCACTTGAGCTGTCCTGAGAGCCAGGTGCCGCAGCCTTAAACAAGGCAGACTCTGAAATGTCTGCAGGATGTCTTTTTGCTCCTGGTTTCCGAGGTCTGCAGCATTAGACAAAGGCACGTCCTGGCGGGGGTGGGGGGCGAGGAATGGAGGAAAGGAGATTTCTTTGTAGGTTCCCTGGCGGGATGACCTAGAACTTGTCTTTGGAAAATGTGTGGGGAACAGTCACAGAGTCGCCCTAAAGCTGCAGAGTGTGTAAGAGAGCAGGCGGTGTGAAGGCTGGATGTCCATTATAGCATGAATTAGAATATTTCACTTCCCCTGCTCGTTGTCTATGCTGAGGCTGGTGATTCCAGCAAAGTGCAGACCCCCGCCAAGTGGTCTCCTTACCCACCCAGCACGCCCCATGCTGCTTCTGCCCTTCACTTCGCCTCTCTCTCTGCCCCTGTGTATGTTTTCTCTTCTTTCTATTCAAGCGATAGCCCTAGACAATCATCGGTAAGAGTGGAGAGTGTTGAAAAGCACCGACCTTTCCATTGCTGAGAAGATTCTGGAAGAACCAGTCTCTGTAAATAGTGGGTGCATTTGCAAGTAGCTCACACTTTGGCCGGGCTTCCCCAGTAGCTAAGTGGTAAAGAATCTGGCTGCAATGCAGGAGATGCAGGTTCGATCCCTGGGTTGGGAAGGTCCCCTGCAGAAGAAAGTGGCAACCCACTCCAGTATTCTTGCCTGGAAAGTCCCATGGATGGAGGAGCACGTAGGATAGCACACACCTGGCCGAGTGAACACACACACACACACACACACATTGGCCACGTGATAAACCCTCTTAGAGGAGACCTGTACAAATAAGATGGAGACACGGTAGACCTACATTAGAGCCCACGGGTCCCTTGAGATGGGTGGGGGGACCTTTAGATCCCAGGAACCATTTTAGGCAGAGTCATCTCCTCTCAGCTTGGCAGCTTCTGAACTGGTACCCAGGCAGGCATCGTAGCTCGTCTGGACACAGTGGGCCATGTCAGAAACCAGGTGTCAGGAACCAGAATTCCTGAAACAGTTGCAAAGGAGGCTTTGATAACTGGATGTCCCTTTGTTAGAACTTCTCACTTGGCGCCCTATTTTCTCCTGACCCGCTAAAACCAAAGAGCCCTAACATACATGCTAATGGAAAGAGATATTATGCCATCCCAGAGGGCACCTGGGAACTGCATTTTGTTTAGCAGAATCTGCATTTCCTCATTTTTTTCATACAGGGTAGGTGGGAAGAGAGGGGAGATGATTGAGGCAAAGAAAGCCCGGTGTCTTAGGTGGTTTGTTGCTTCTGAGTTGGGCAATTTGGATCAAACGTCTCTATAACTGCCCTCTTGCAACTTGAAAGCCCTTTGAACCTTTTCTTCAAAGGAATTACCTAGTTGTTTATTCAAAGGTTGATTATAGCTATTACCATTTTCTCTTAACAGTTTCTCTTTCTTTGAAATAATCTGATTTAAATAAATTTACTTAAGCCATGTAAGCCACGGTTCAAGTTAACTAGAATTAGCTGGAAAAAGATTTGATTTAATTAGGGTCCTTTTCCCCCTTTTAAAAAAAGAAAGCAGTCTGACGTTTTTAGTTTAGTATAATCTTAAAGGGTAACAGCCACAACTTAAAACAGTTTTGCAAGTCACTTTTCCAAGACAGCGTTTGTTTGGGTGTTTTTTGAGGTTCATTTCATAACTCTCAGAAAACTGAGTGATAATTGGCTTATGTGTATACCAAATCTAATTGGGGCAGACCCGTGTGACATTACTGGGAGGCGAACTTCTCCCTAGTTTCACAATTCTAATTATAGGCATATGTGTGAAGCTTTAATAATTACAGTTGTGCATGTGAAACACACTAGTTATTTCTCCACAATATATTTTACATTAAACCCTTTTGGCTAGGTCTCCATAAGTCACTTAAAATGTAGATTTTATCTTCTCTGTCCCACAGACCTCTGCTCATTTATCTTTTTGAAAGTGTGCTTAAGACAAGGCAAGACGCCAGTGTTCACAAGCTTGCCTGGGAGCAAGTGGGGAATCTGGTCTCTTATTTCCCCCTTCCCCATCCCTGCCCTTTTTTAAGATCAAGCACTTAGCTGTAGCCCCAAATCAAGAGCTGAGGGAGTAACCTGAAGGAGTTAATGGAACCCTTGGAGATTAGGAAGTGAGAGTTTTCGTGTATGGGTTCTCAGGAGACTGGGCCTCTAACATGACTGTTTATGAAATTATTCTTAAAATGTTGGCCCATTTAATATGTTTATTCCATGGTGCTATCTCTCCATCTTACCATAGTGAGTGCTCTGTACGCATTGATTGTCTCCTTAACTTTCCTTTGGGAAAATTTTTCCTTTTTAGAGATTTTTTTTTTATTTTATGTGGACCATTTTTTTAAGTCTCTATTGAATTTGTCGCCCTGCCAGTGGTGGTGGTTTCGTCGCTAACACGTGTCCTACTCTTGCGATCCTGTGGACAGTGTTGCTTTCTGTTTTATGCTTTGGTGTTTCAGCCACAAGGCATGTGGTCCCTGACCCGGGACTGAACGCGCAGCCCCTGCGCTGGAAGGGGAAGTCTCAACCACTGACCACCAGCGAATTCTAAATGGCCATTCAACTGAAAGCTCAGAATCATTTTTCTACTTCTGACCCACCTCCCAGTTTTCCCAGCTTCACTGATACTGCAGGGTAGGGCCTGATAGCAGGGGCCCTCAGAGTCTCTGGAACAGAGATCTCCTCCTAAAACATGAATCCAAGACAGCCCTGCTGAAGGGGCCTGCTGGTGCAAGCTGGGCTGAAGGGAAAGCAAACAGGGGCCCCTGTCTGTGAGGGCAGGAGTGGATGAGTAGGGAGCAGAGAAGACTGGAGGAGAGAGGTTAAGAGAGAGAAAACAGAACTCTCCCAAACAAAAGAAGAACAGGCAGCGCTCCTGCTGGGTTTGCCCATCCCGATTTGGGTTCTGATTTTTCATTGCAAGCTTCAGTTGAAGAGTTTGGGTGACCTTCAGAGCTTTGATGTGTTTTCTGCCTGGATGAGGTTCTATTTAGAAATGCTCTTGCATTGTACAGCTTAACCCAACGATCATAGGGGGGAATGTTTGTGGCGCATCTTGACCCGTGGTTCGTGAGTAACTTCATGGACTCACAACTCTGCCTTTCCGGCCCCTATTGGGTTTTTTCTTTTGTGAGCTTGCCTCTAGCTTTCACAAGAGCCATGGCTTTGCAGGTGGAGACGTGTTAGCGTGAAGGAAAAAACGAAGTTAGATGTATGTCCTAGCAGTTGAGAAAGTGCAAGGGTTTTTTTCCCCCAATGTGGAGTCTGTCTCTGACCACAGCCCCTTTCTGTCTGAGTCCCATGGGCTGAGTCTTCTCTTTGGGGACCAGAACCGTAAATATTTACATTGAAGTTCAAAGGAGGAGGCATGATCTTAATTCTGCACTCAACAAAGTTTGAGGAAAGATATCAGATGAGGACCAGACACTAACTGCTCTCTAATGACCTGTCAGCTGCCCTATCTGTAAAATCAAAAGTAAACAGAGCACCAAAGGCATAATGGACCCAGTGTGGCTTTAGATGCGCTGAGTGCTTCTTTCTTCTGCCCCCTGCCTTAATCACCCAGGATCCAAGCAACGGATCATTGCTTGGATCATTGCTAGGAGTTCATTTAGTCTACTTCTCATTGCTATTTTTCTGGCTTTTTTTTTTTCCCAGCCAACGCTTAGCATTGTCTAAATCACTGGGTGTATTTTTCCCCCTCTCTTCAAATCACCATATGTTGCCTCATGCATTGGAACATTTTTTTTTTAAAAGAGACTTGCATGCAATGAAAACATTCAGCTGAAAAAAGTCAACTCTTTAATGGGTGGGATCGCGTGTCATCTGGGGTGACACCAACACCCGCCAGAGAATATCAATCTTCCTTTGGCTTTTCCCCCTTGGCCACTTGGAAGCCAGCAGGCTGACTCCAAGGACTGTTGGCTCGTTTTCTCCTCCTGCCTTAGTCCTCGAAAGCAAGCAAGCCTGTCTTGTTTTCCTGGATGACTCATAACCTAAGAGTTGATGAAAATATGTTTTGGTTCAGCATACTTTTTAGCTCTCGCTGGATTTGATTGTGAGGCCCTGCTAGAAAATATTTCCAGTTTGGCCAGGGAACCACTGCCTGACATTCTTCTGTCTTGAGACCCATATCCAAAGGTTACAGTTCACAGCTGCTGGGTTTCCTGGTGGATGCGAAATGATGTGTTAGCCCCAGAGAATGTTTCCTTTCCTGCTGCCTCCCCCCGACCTCCCTCCTTGTTGGCGTCCACAGTTTTCTAATTCCGAGCTGGTTCTGTCCTCCTCTTGCAGACTTTGGTTTGAGCAACTGTGCAGGGATCCTGGGCCATTCCGACCCATTCAGCACGCAGTGTGGCAGTCCTGCGTACGCCGCTCCCGAACTCCTTGCCAGGAAGAAATACGGCCCCAAAATCGATGTCTGGTCCATGTGAGTTACTGAGCTTCTAAAACGGCCCTCTAATGACCTGTCTCCCTCTTGCTGTCTCCGCGGCCCCTTTCTGATGAAATAACCTTTGCGTGTTTAATGAGCATGAATGATCAGCCCTGGGATATATACACAGTGATTCTCTAGGATCCCACTTTCCACTGCTGTTCTTTCTATCGTTTTTCCACCAACTGCCCCAAGAGGCCCTAAATTTAAATTCAACAAGGTGCAGGGGGCAGAAGAAAACAGCCGAGCACTCGCCAAGATGATCTTTGGTTTCATGAGTCACTCGTGTCCTTCCGCTGCTTTCCATCAGCGTCAGCGTAAATCCCAGCCTCGGCCCTGGCCCCGCACCTCGTGCGGGCCTGCCCACCTCTCCTGCCTCTTCACCCACTGCCCTCCACCCCCAACTGCTCAGGGGTCTTCACGCAGCTGTCTTCTGTTTTGTCTCCCCGCCTCTGGGCTGTGCAGTCGCTGCGCCTTTCACTGAAGTGCAGCTGGCATACAATATCATGTTAGTTTCAGGCGCGCAGCTCGGTGACCCGACGCTTATATATATTATGAACCGACCTGCACAGGAAGTCCAGGAACCATCTGTCACTGCACGGAGTTACTGCCGCGTTACTGACTGTACTGCCTAGGCTGTGCACTACACCTCCGTGACTAGTTTATTTTCTAACCGGAAGTCTGTACCTTTGAGTCCCCTCATCTGTTCTGTCCCACCTCCCACCCCACCCCTGGCCCCGGCCAGCACTCGGTGGTGCCCTCCCCTGGAACGCTGTTTCCCAACTCTTCGAATGGCCCGTCCAGCCCCATGTTCCCATATTGATCAGTGTCGCCACTGTGGAGTCCGTCTCTTGTTCTGGGGATGGCCAGCACATGGCATGGAGCCTGGGCTGGAGAAGGAAAATGAAGGAAGGGGGGAAGGAGGGATAGAGGGAGGAAGGAGAAGAAGGAGAGAAGGGAGGGATGGAGGGCAGGACAGTCATTTCAACCAGGTGAGCAGAGGCTGCAGAGAGTGAAAGTGTTAGTAGCTCAGTCCTGTCCAACTCTTTGCAACTCCATGGTCTGTAGCTCAGGCTTCCCAGGTGGCACTAGTGGTAAAGAACCTGCCTGCCAATGCAGGAGACGCAAGAGATGTGGGTGGGATCCCTGGGTCAGGAAGATCCCCTGGAGAAGGAAATGCAACCCACTCCAATATTCTTGACTGGAGAATCCCATGGACAGAGGAACCTGGCGGGCTACTTGGGGGTCACAAAGAATCAGACACGACTAAGTGACTTAGCACACACATACAGACTGTAGCCTGCCAGGCTCCTCTGTCCATGGGATTCTCCAGGCAAGAATACTGAAGTGGGTAGCCGTTTCCTCCTCTAGGAGATCTTCCCCACCCAGGGATCGAACCCAGGTCTTCTGCATTGCAGGAAGATTCTTTAGTGTCTGAGCTACCAGGGAAACCCTAGAAGCTAGAGGGTCACTACTAGAGCCAGCGGAGGAAGCAAACGGAGAAATGCGAGTGAGTGAGGGGATTGCAGGAGGTCTGGTTGGAGGTGATTCAGAGGAACCAGAGACGAAATGAGAATCAGAGGGCGCCAGAATCCCCTGAACGTTCCAAGAAAGGGCCAGCTCTCCCTGGAAGCGCAGCTCAGCTCATTCAGCCAGGGGGTGAGACGTTAGTTGGGGTCAACCTCCTCATTGCTGAGGCTCTGAGTCCGCGATTTCCTTTGATCCTCAGGACCACCTGTGAGGCTGGCTATTACCCTCTTTCACACAAACAGGAGGGTGGCTTGGTGGTTAGTGCGGCTCAGGGCCACTCAGCCTATAGGCTGGGGAGCTGTGCTCGGCCCTCAGGGCTCTTCAAGCCTCAGGCTGAGCTCCGGGTTCCTCCCACTTCTCCAGAGGATGTGAGAAGGCTGCCGAGTGTAGGGGCGTGCCTGTGTGCAGAGGGTGCCGTGTGCAGAGGGTGCCTATGTGCAGGGGTGCCTGTGTGCAGGGGGTGCCTGTGTGCAGGAGGTGCCATGTGCAGAGGGTGCCGTGTGCATAGGGTAGGGTGCCAAGTGCAGAGGGTGCCGTGTGCAGAGTGTGCCGTGTGCATGGGGTGCCGTGTGCAGGGGGTGCTGTGTGCATGGGGTGCCATGTGCAGAGGGTGCTGGGGGGGTGCCACGTGCAGAGGGTGCCGTGTGCAGAGGGTGCCGTGTGCATAGGGTGCCTGTGTGCATAGGGTGCCTTGTGTGCAGAGGGTGCCATGTGCAGAGGGTGCCTGTGTGCATGGGGTGCCGTGTGCAGAGGGTGCCGTGTGCATAGGGTGCCTGTGTGCATAGGGTGCCTTGTGTGCAGAGGGTGCCTGTGTGCATGGGGTGCCGTGTGCATAGGGTGCCTTGTGTGCAGAGGGTGCCATGTGCAGAGGGTGCCTGTGTGCAGGGGGTGCCATGTGCAGGGAGTGCCGTGTGCATGGGGTGCCTGTGTGCAGGGGTGCCGTGTGCAGAGGGTGCCTGTGTGCATGGGGTGCCATGTGCAGAGGGTGCCGTGTGCAGGGGGTACCGTGTGCAGGGGGTGCCTGTGTGCAGAGGGTGCCTTGTGTGCAGAGGGTGCTGTGTGCAGGGGGGTGCCATGTGCAGGGGGTGCCATGTGCAGGGGGTGCTGACTAGCTGGGGCCCCCTGGGGCAGGGTAGTGGTAGTAGGAAGCAGAGGCAAAGGGTGCCTCCTCTTTGAGATGCCCTGGGTGATGTTAACAGCATTGCAACTCACAGACTCTTTTTATGCTGGGCCCAAATGGGCCTCAGTTTCCTTCTCAACACAGCCCTCCAGGCAGCCAACCCTGGTGGATGAGAGTCAATACACAGGTGAAATCCACTCATGTAAGTGTCTGGCACGTCATCTGTCCTAAATAGTTACTTAGGTATGAACAGGGGCTTCCCAGGTGGCTCCGTGGGTAAAGAGCCTGCCTGCCAGTGCAGGAGCCATAGGAGATGCGGGTTTGATTCCTCGGTCGGGAAGATCCCTTGGAGGAGGAAATGGCAACCCACTCCACTATCCTTGCCTGTAGAATTCCATGGACAGAGGAGCCTGACAGTCTACAGTCTCTGTGGGGTTGCAAAGAGTCAGACATGACTAAGTGAGCACGCACATACGCATGTATGAATGGGTGAATATGAAAGTCTGAGTCTATAATCACTCTCTTTCCTCAGCATTTAGGGAATGTATTTATGCTAAATGGAAAGCTTTGAACGGAATAGTTTGTGTACCAAAAAACAAAACAAAAAGAAACAACAAACCCCCTCTCCAAAAAAAACCATGTGGAGACTGGGTGTGATAGGGACTGGGCCGGGTGACACAGTGATCAAAGGGAAAGAGAGGCTGGAGAGGAGGTGACGGTTTGTTCCTGAGGTCCTGGTCTCGACGGGGCTGGACAGTACACCGTCATCACTGGTCATCACGGTGGCGAAGCTCAGCCTGTGTGAGAGGGACCCTTTCTGGCCCATGACTAACAAAACAGGCATCTCCACAAAGTCTAGAACTGCTGGTGGAGGGAAGGAAGGAAGGAAGGAGCCTGTGGCTCATCAGAGCTGTAGGCGACCACCTGGCCTTATAACTAACTGCCTGGGGCCTCTTGTCCTGTCCTGGGAACACTAAGACGGAGACTGATTATTTATCTCGCGTGGAGAAATACAAAGGAAAATGAAATGGATGGCCACTACAGAAGAAAGGGGGGTGGGGCAGATTGGGAGATTGGGACTGACACTTAATACTCGACTGATGGGTGCCTGTGTCAGTTGTTCAGTTGCGTCCGACTCTTTGCGACCCCATGGACTGTAGCCGCCAGGCTCCTCTGTCCGTGGGACTCTCCAGGCAAGAATACTGGAGTGGGCTGCCATGCCCTTCTTCAGGGAATCTTACCCACTCAGGGATCGAACCTGGGTCTCCTGCGCCTCCTGGGTTGGGAGGTGGATTCTTTACTACTCGTGCCCCGTGATGCTGTGTATGAAATGGACAACTGGTAGGGAGGCAGAGTGCAGCACGGGGCCTCTGCTTAATGCACTGTGGTGGCCTGAGTGGGAAGGAGGTCCAGGAAAGAGGGGAGGTCTGTGTGCATATGGCTGGTTCGTTTTGCTGCATGGTAGAAACTGGCGCCATGGTGTAAAGCAACTACAGTCAAATAAAAATTAACTTTTAAAAACGAAAATGAAAATGACAGGCTACAGAAGGATCCTAGGGTCAGAATTAAGCTCAGACTTTGTTCCTGCCCCTTCTTCTGAGTCCCTGGACCCTGGAAAGGAATCCACGTTTAGTGACCATTTTAGATGCTCCCCTTCTTAGTTTCAGGGCCCCGGGGTTAAAATAAAGGGACCTGGTCCATTGCCACCTGCTGTGTCCACACCCATCCAGTGGCTCCATCCAGGCAGAGGTGAAGCTTCAGAAGAAACCGCAGAAGAAACAGAGATGACCCGAGACTAGCATGCCCGGACCTCGCCTCCCCCTTCCACCCCGGCTGCCGGCAGTACTGTGTCTGAGGCAGTGGGGCCCTTCTCTGCTAGCTTCCATTCAGTTGCATTTTTCTTTTTTTTCAAGATGATGATATGCAACTGAAGGTCTCTTGAAAGCTCTCATCAGGCCTCATTCTAGTCATGAGGCTGTCAAGCAGTGTATGCGAAAGTGTTTGATAAGTGATTATGTACTTTACAGACTCTGGGCTTCAGTTGATCCTGGCAAAGCTCTGGAGGCCCATGGGGGATGTCCAGGTAGACCAGAAACCCCAGCACCCCCCTCCCCCGAGTCCTTTGTTCTGGTCCCCAACATGGGGAGTCAAGGTGGAATAAATTCTCACCCTTGCTCAGCCACCAAGGACCGTGTTTTACTCTTTCTAGAAACCGGGTTTTCCCAGAGCAACTCTGTGTTAGCTGACTCCCTGGAACATTCTCCAGGGGGATGAGACCCCCTTGACCCACACCTCATTCACAGGATGCTATAAACTAGGCCCTTTTTAGAAGCTGTTGATAAAGCTT